CCCCCCCCCCCTTCTCACCTACTTCATAATATTACAATCTCTGTTCCCCCTCACTTTCGGTTTCCATTTTCTTTCACTTCCTCCTTTCTTCATTTCTTCTTCCCCCTCTTTATGCACTGCGACCATCATACTGACGAGGTCCAGTTGCAGTATTGAGTTGAGACGCATATGACTTAATGGACCGAAACGTCTTATCTCGCTCTCACCTCCTCTAATCTACACTAATTTTTTTCACCTGAACTACTTCGCACTTTTGCTATTTGCGCTCCCAGGTTCTACCTGGGGGCTGCAGCCTGCTTACCGATGCAATTATGCGTTTCTACGCTGGGGTTGCAAACCATTAACAACAAGAACGATTTCTGCGCCATAGTTAAACAGTTGAACTGATACTGGTTGCGTTTTGGCTTTTTCCAACGTGGAAGGACAAAAAGCGTCGGGTGGGATGATGATATTGCGTTGTCGGGCCGCACGGACTCCAGCGTGCATGATTATCAACTTTTATGCGTTTTTGCACATATGCAAATGCAAAAACGCATACTGGTAAAAGGCTGCGTGTGTGTCTTCGCACTTTTTGTCACTCACTTTCAATTCGAGAACTGGAAATACCAGGAAGCTGGAACTTTGGGAGCATGTACCCACTCTTCCTTTTTAATAACATCACCCGCGTACGCCTGGGTGCCGTTAAGAATATGCAGTTTTTTGGCGGGAAAGCAATCTTGGGAAATGGATAAGACAGAGAATTGATACTTTGCAGGGACATTTTCCGTGCATATGTGAGCTAAAAATTTTAAATTCAGCTCCTGTTGGTTTGGAAATTGCTAACTCGGAAATCAGAAAAACCGGAAAACTGAAATTTTAAGGTAATGTTCTCCGTCCGCGTACATTTTAAAGATTTTGAATTCGGCCACCAGATACGCGTGGTGCTCATGTATGAGCATGTGAAAGTTTTGGCGGGAGAACTACTGACTTGGGAACCAGAAAAGCTGGAGATCTGAGATTTTAGAGGAATGCTCCCTGTCCAGGCAAAGCCTAAAGATTCCACATTCAGTTTCCAGGTATGCGTGGCTCTCGCGTACGGCC